GGAGAACGTCCGGACCCCAGGGGGCGGGGGTGGTGGGGGTGAGCTGACCCCCCCCTGTTGTCCACCCGGGTGGGTAAGAGGAAGACAGTCACAAAAAAAAAAAAAAAAAAAAAAAAAAAGAACTTCAGTACCTGAAAATGATGGGCACAAGAGAACTATCCAGTTCCCCAAATACTTCTACATAGACCTACAAAAAGATCGTCAAAGCAATTATGGTACTCTTTTCAGAGAATAAAAATGAACTCACTGTATCCGACAGGCAGCCAAAAGCTTATTAAAATTACACCTAACTTTTACAACTGATAAGTACAACTTTTCTGACTACCATTCTTTAGTTTATTGAGGTCTGTGATATTGTATGTCTTTATATATTATTTGGAAACTATTGTCAAGGGATACAGGGGACCTAAGGAAAGGCAAAGGAAAGCCAAACAACTATAGCATGTTATAATTGGACCTTACCTATAACTTGGTAGAAAGGTTTTAGGAAATGTTTATTCTAGTTCAGTGGCCTTTTTTCTTTTTGGATCATGCATCCTTGGTAAAATATTTTCAATCCCACATCCCCAAATATGGTATTTACCTACATAAGTATGTCTATACCAATATTTGATGTACATAAAATACATGCAAATTTTTTAATTAAAAAATGAGCTATGGCAGGGTGAGGTGGCTCATGCCTATAATCCTAGTACTTTGTGAGGCTGAGGTGGGCAAATCACTTGAGTCCAGGAGTTCAAGACCACCCTGGGCAATAAGGCAAAATGCCACCTCTACTAAAAATACAAAATTAGCCAGGCGTGGTGGCACATGCCTGCAGTTCAGCTACTTGGGAGGGTGAGGTGGGAGGACAGCTTGAGCTGGGGAAGTGGAGGTTCCACTGAACTGAGATCATGCCACTGCACTCCAGCCTGGGTGACAGAGTGAAATCCCGACTCAAAAAAAAAAAGAGACAGAAAATTTAACATTTCAAATGTTACTGATATAGAAACTCTTTTTGTTATTATTAAAATTTATTTCAACAATATATTTTTAGTGCAATGAATGTAAACTGAATATTATGTTGCCCAGGCTGGAGTGCAGTGGCTATTCACAGTCACAATCCAAATGCAATGCAGCTCCTGGACTCGTGTGATCCTTCTGCCTCAGCCTCTCAAGTAGCTGGTACTATAGTTATGAGTCACCACACCCACTAACTTTTTTTTTCTTATTCGTGATTTAGCACTTTGCTATAAACCAAGAGGCAGGTATTATTTCTACTTTATAAATGAGAAAACTGAAGTTTGAGAGAGTGCATAATCTGACAAATGTCAGAGCTATCATGGCAGAGCACGAATGGAAACTTCTATCTGTGGAACTCTAAAACCAATGCTCTTAACCAATATATTCTAAGAAAAGAGGCAATCAGAGATAAATTTATCGTGAGGTATAAGTAAAAAACAAAGAATAACTCCTTCTGACCAATCTGAATGAATCTGAATTATGTTCTCATTTGATTCTTATTAATATAATCAGTTAAAATCTCTGTATGACTTTGGGTAAGTCATTTAACTTATTTGAATCTTAGTTTCCCAATATGTAAAATGAAAGACTTGGACTAGGTGATCTTTAACGTCCTTTTCAGCATTAACATTCTAGGAGTCAAAAATAAGAGTTAATAAGGCAAACATCTTTTAGCTGAATAACCAAACCTTTATTGATCTCCACATTAGGAAGGTTGAAGATTTCAAGGTCCATCATGCCTCCTTTAGTCCCTTCTGAGAGGTCTAAGAGGACCAGCCTATCTGCAATGCCCTGTACAATAAGAAAAATAACAACATTACACAGAACACGGCCAATGACTCAATTTAAATTCATTTAACAATGAGAACAAAAGGACAATAAACAGGCCTTATACACTGTCTTAAGAAGAATAAGCAACACAATAGCAATAAAAGTGACATACAAGCAAGAAATTAACTTCGGCCAGGCCTAGTGGCCCACAACTGTAATCCCAGCACTTTGGGAGGCCAAGGCGGTTGGATCACCTGAGGTTAGCAGTGCGAGACCAGCCTGGCCAACATGAAGAAACCCTGTAACTACTAAAAATACAAAAACTAGGCTAGACATGGTGGCTCACGCCTGTAATCCCAGCACTTTGGGAGGCTGAGGCGGGCAGGTCATGAGGTCAAGAGATAGAGACCATCTGGGCCAAAATGGTGAAACCCCGTCTCTACTAAAAATACAAAAATTAGCTGGGTGTGGTGGCATGTGCCTGTAGTCCCAGCTACTGAGGAGGCTAAGGCAGGAGAATCGCTTGAGCCTGGGAGGTGGAGGTTGCAGTGAGCTGAGATGGTGCCACTGTACTCCAGCCTGGCGACAGAGCAAGACTCTGCCTCAGAAAAAAAAACATGCCGGGTATGGTGGCATATGCTTATAATCCCAGCTACTTGGGAGGCTGAGGCAGGAGGATCACTTGAACTCAGGAGGCAGAGATTGCAGTGAGCCAAGATTGTCCCACTGCACTCCAACCTGGGCAACAGAGCTAGACTCTGTCTCAAAAAAAAAAAAAAAAAAGAAACTATGAACTTCAATAATGTAATCTTTTAGGTTTGACTACTAAAAGCTGTAACAGGGCTTAAGTCAGAAGTCACAGATTGCAGGTTTCTTTTGAGACAGAGTTTCATTCTTTTCGCCCTGGCTGGAGTGCAATGGCACAATCTTGGCTCGCTGCAACTCTGCCTCCCAGGTTCAAGCAATTCTCTTGCCTCAGCCTCCCAAGTAGCTGGGATTACAGGCATGTGCCACCATGCCCAGCTAATTTTGTATTTTTAGTAGAGATGGGGTGTCACCATGTTGGCCAGACTGATCACGAACTCCTGACCTCAGGTAATGTGCCCGCCTTGGTCTCCCAAAGTGCTGGGATTACAGGTGTGAGCCACTGCGCCCGGCCCTGCAGGTTTTTTTGTTTTGTTTTGTTTTGTTTTGTTTTTAAGGAGTCTTGCTCTGTCACCCAGGCTGAAGTGCCATGGCACTATCTCAGCTCACCGCAACCTCCACCTTCCAGATTCAAGCAATTCTCCTGCCTCAGTCTCCTGAGTAGCTGGAATTACAGGCACACACCACCACACTCAACTAATTTTTTTTATATTTTTGGTACAGATGGGGTTTCACCATGTTGGCCAGGCTGGTCTCGAACGCCTGACGTCAAGTGATCTGCCCTCCTTGTCCTCCCAAAGTGCTGGTATTACAGGCATGAGCCACCATGCCCAGCGCCTGCAGCATTCTTTTAATGGTATGAGTTAATAAAGATGACTTGGTACACTCAATACTTCTGTTATTTCTCTTGATTTATGGTTTCATTTTGATATTATCATTTTCATTCTGACAGAGCTCACAGTGACTTTTGGGTCTATTTGGGTGTCTTATTTCTAGCAGAAAAGTTAAAAAATAATGCCAGCTTTTTCTTTTTAAAAAAGTGTAATAGCTATAAAATCTAAGATCAAATCCTATTATGTGGTACCCTCTCCAAAGACCTCATGGAAAATACTCCGTGTGCCTGTAAATTGGGTGGCACAGTGGGCTGGCTGTAAATAACAGTATGGAAACCCCTAAAAATCAGTTTACTTTTGTGGAAGGTCTTTCTCCAAAGTAGTAGGAGACTTGATGATCTCTCCTATTTCAGGATTCACAGGCAAAAGTACCCAAAGATCCACCAGACTATCAGGCAGAAAGTGTGATGGTTAAGAAAACAACCCTGGCCGGGCATGGTGGTTCACACCTGTAATCCCAGCACTTTGGAAGGGCAAGGTGGGCACAGGCTTAAGCCCAGGAGTTTCAGACTAGCCTGGGCAACGTGGCAAATCCCCCCCTCCCCCAACACACACACACACAAGTCCTGGCATGGTGGCTCACGCCTGTAATCCCAGCACTTTAGGAGGCGGAGGCGGGCGGATCACCTGAGGTCAGGAGTTCGAGGCCAACCTGGCCAGCATGGTGAAATCCCATCTCTATTAAAAATACAAAAATTAGCCAGGCGTGGTGGTGGGTGCCTATAATCTCAGCTACTTGGGAAGCTGAGGCAGAGTCACTTGAATCCGGGAGGCAGAGGCGGCAATGAGCCGAGATCACACCATTGCACTCCAGCCTAGGTGACAGAGTGAGACTCTCAAAAAAAAAAAAAAAAAAAAGAAGAAGAAGAAAGAAAACAACCCTGCTACACAATTTATTAGCTATGTAACATGGGAAAGTGGCTGAATTCGGCCTTACTTTATGTGGTTGTAAGGATTAATTATGTGACACAGGGCTGGCATATAGTAATCCCCTCTAAAACATAGTTATTATTTTATTGCTAACCATACACATAAGAAAAATGCAAAGAAAACTATGAGTCACCATTTTCATTTACAAGACACAAAAAAATCTAAAAGTTTAGCAGTAGTTGTGGGAAAATAAGTATTCTTACATATTATAGGTATGAGAATAAACTGGTATAATTAATAAAAGATAATTTGACAATTTTCTATCAAAAATTTAAAACATTAACTCTTTGAATCCATCAATTCATTTATAGAAATCATCCTACAAATTTATCAGTATGTGTAAAACAACACAACATATATAAGGATATTCATAAGACTAGAAAAAAAAAAAAAGACTAGAAACAACAAAATGTTCACCAGCAACATTGAGACAATATAATATAGTGGTTTATAGCAGAGATTGAAAAAGCTTTACTATGTCACCATGCATTCAATCAGTGGAGCATATAGATCACCAGGGACTTTATCAAAATGTAGATTTTGAGGCCAGGCATGGTGGTTCAGGCCTGTAATCCCAGCACTTTGGGAGGCCAAGGCAGGAAGACAGTCCGAACCAGGAGTTCAAGACCAATCTAGACAACATAGGGAGACCCATCTCTACAAAAAAATAAAAGATTAGCTAGGTGTGGTGGCACACCCCTGTGGTCCCAGCTACTCAGGAGGCTGAGGTGGGAAGATCTCTTAAGCCCAGGAGGTAGAGTCTGCAGTGAACCATGATTGCACCAGTACTCCAACCTCAACCTGGGTGACAGAGAGAAAGCCTGTCTCAAAAACAAAAATGAAAAACCATGACTTTCAGATGCCTTCCTGTGCTTACCAAAAAAAAAAAAAAAAAAAAAAAAAAAAAAGGCAAATAATTACAAATAAAATAAATAAAACTCAGTACTGTTAGGGATGTCAAAAATCAGGCTGATGTGCATGTTATTAGCAGCATAAATTAGTTCTGCAATCTGGCAATTAAGTGCTATAAAAACCATTCATGCTCTCTGACTCACTTGTACTGTTTTTTAAAACTAGGCAAACCAGGCCGGGTGCAGTGGAGCATGCTTGTACTCCCAGCACTTTGGGAGGCTAAGGCAGGAGAACTGCTTGAGCCCAGGAATTCAAGACCAGCCTGGGAAACATGGCGAAATCCTGACTCTACAAAAATTATAAGAATTAGTGGGATGGTGGCAGGTGTCTGTAGGTCCAGCTACTTGGGAGGTTGAGGTGGGAGGATGGCTTGAGCTGGGGAAGACAGAGGGTGCAGTAAGCCGAGACTGCACCACTGCATTCCAGCCTGTGTGACAGAACATGACCCTGTCTGAAAAAAATAAAATAAAAAGGCTGGGCGCGGCGGCTTACGCCTGTAATCCCAGCACTTTGGGAGGCCAAGATGGGTGGATCATGAGGTTAGGAGTTTGAGACCAGCATGGTCAACATGGTGAAACCCCGTCTCTACTAAAAATATAAAAAGTAGCTGAGTGTGGTGGTGGGCACCTCTAACCCCAGCTCCTCAGGAGGCTGAGGCAGGAGAACTGCTTGAACCTGGGAGGTGGAGGCTGCAGTGAGCTGAGATCAGGTCACTGCACTCTAGCCTGGGTGACAGACCAAGACTCTGTCTCAAAAAATAATAATAAAATAAAAATAAAAATAAAATAATGTACAACCAAAAAAAATTCAGATGAAAAAATAAGGAACTTGAAATGTTTATAGAAGCATTTATTTAGTGACAAAAGACTGAATATAACCCAAATTCTAATTAAGATGTAATAGTAAGCCAGGCGTGGTGACTCATGCTTGTAATCCCAGCACTTTGGGAGACCAAGGCAGGTGGATCACTCGAGGTCAGGAGCTCGAGACCAGCCTGGCCAACAGGGCAAAACCCCGTCTCTACTAAAAATACAAAAACTATCTGGGCATCATGGCATGTGCCTGTAGTCCCAGCTACTTGGGAGGCTGAGACAGGAGAATCACTTGAACCCTGAAGGCAGAGGCTGCAGTGAGCCAAGATTGTACTCCAGCTTTGGCATCAAAATGAGACTCCACCTCAAAAAAAAGGTATGTAATAGTGTATTCAAATGGAGGATGGAAGAAATATGAAACTATAGCATGCCAAAAGTTAGCATATGTAACTCTGAGCAGCCAGCTTTTAAGACATTCTAGCTCCATGGATACAATTTAATTATTTGCTGAAGTAAAACCCACCTCCAAGACATATGTGAGTCTTAAATGGAAAGGGAAGAATTTAGATGGCAAAACAATCAAGTATATATAGAAAAGAAAAACTAATGCCAGCCACCAAATAAACATAGAGAGGGGCAGCTATTCTATTCAGGGCTACATATCTCAAATGACAGGAGGCATGCTGTTACCCTGATACTGGACTCTGGAGGGAGGCAGGCAGGTCTTTCGAACCTCTCTGGAACGGGATTTAAGCCTTTCTGCAAACAATTTATGTAGAGACTAATAAAAAGGGCTAAAGAAAAAATAAACCCTAAACTAGCATAAAATATCAGCTCAGAAACTATGATCCTAAAAGAAAGTAATTATATAAGAAAAGGCAATCTTTTTTAAAAAAAAGTGAATTTTAGAAAGAGCTAAAATTATTATATTCAACAAGAGTTTAATTAAAGTAGCATGATTCAGAAAATACAAAAGAATTTGTGACTAAATCACATGAATGTCAAGTTGAGGCTTCCCTTGGATGAGGATAAGCCCATTGTTCAAATCACTTTTTATAAGCTTAACTACTAATTAAGAGGCAACATCACTGATGAAAGCTTTCAGCTATTTTTTTTTTTTTTTGCCAACTTACTAAATATATTTTAAGGCAAAATAAGGTTTTCCCACATGACAAAATGAAGGCATTTTTGATGCGTTAAACATAACCTGCCTACAAGTGTGGCACTATGATAGATGTATTTATAACTAGTATGCTTACATACCTTTGCTGAAATTGCTAATGTGCAGGCAATACCCAATTCTCCACCTCCAACCACTGTAATTTTATTGGCTGTTTTATTCTCATGATTTGCCCAGCTCTTTAAATTTATATCTGAAACACCTAGAAAGAAAAGTAGATGATCCTGAGAATTCAAAAATATCAAAAATCTTTTTAGGATCTTTAAAAAAATATATAGCAGGCTTCATAGCTCAGAGAGAAAATATAGTGCTAGTCCATAATGGGCTTTCAAAAAATACTACCGGGCCGGGCGCGGTGGCTCAAGCCTGTAATCCCAGCACTGTGGGAGGCCGAGGCGGGTGGATCACGAGGTCAAGAGATCAAGACCATCCTGGTCAACATGGTGAAACCCCGTCTATACTAAAAATACAAAAAATTAGCTGGGCATGGTGGCGTGTGCCTGTAATCCCAGCGACTCAGGAGGCTGGGGCAGGAGAATTGCCTGAACCTGGGAGGCGGAGGTTGCGGTGAGCCGAGATTGCGCCATTGCACTCCAGCCTGGGTAACAAGAG